TTAATAAAAGTCAAAAGACCAAAGAGGTTACCTTAATACCAAAAAAAAAAAATAATAAATGATAAATATATAAAAAATCAACAAAGTAGCTGACATGAACTATTTGATCAAAAAAAATTCATTAATATGATTAAAAAATAGATTATTATGCATAATTGACCTTTTTACTTGATTGAAGATAATGAACTTGAATTAATCTTTTCATATTTAGAGCCTTAAGTGACAGGTATGTTACTAGTAATAATTATATTATTTTTATTTTATTTATTTTTATTTTTTGTTAATATTTAATATTGTATTTTAATAGTTCCATCTGCTGATTTAATTAAGAGACATATATTAAATGTTTTTAACAATAAACATGAAACACTCTATCAAAAATTACAAATTATTATCAGTAGTGTTACAATAATGACTGATATCTGGACTACATCTATATATGAAAAATCATTTATGACAGTTACAATACATTATTTGGATGAGTCTTGGAAAATAAAATATATATTATTAGATTTTATTACTATGGATAGGCCTCATATAGGTGTACCAATTTTTGATACATTAAAAGATTGCCTTCAATCGATAGGAATTCTTTCAAAATTAATATCCATTACCCATAACAATGCATCTGTAAATATTAAATTTTTATATAATTTTTTAAGTTCTGTAATGCAAGATGGATTTTAATTTGATGCCACACAACAATCAATCTGATGTTTTGGTCATATTTTCAACCTTACTGTACAAAGTATACTTAAGTATGTGGGAAGTAAATTAGAAAAGTTATACACACTAATTAAGCATATTAGAGGATCATGAACACTTCATAAAAAATTTAAAGTAACATGTCAAGCACATAATATGAGTGTGTTAAAACCTATTTTTGATGTTGTCACTAAATGGAATACAATATTTGATATAGTTGATCAGGCACTAAAATTATAATCAGCATTAGATACTGTCATTCTTGATAAGAAGAGTTTGTATAAGAATGTTCTTACTAAATTAGATTGGAATAAATTAAGGCAGCTTGTTAAAATTTTACAACTATTTAAAGAGGCAACAACTACTATGTCAGCTTTGGAATATCTAACCTCATCAATGGCTGTTCCTCTTTATTATGAATTGTTTAAAATACTTGAAGAATTTAAGCAAAAAAAGACTATACCACAGTGGCTTATTCTAGGATGTGAAGCAGTGATGAAAAAACTCCTAAATTACTGCAATAAAACAAGCTTATTGCATTTCATAGCAATTATTTTGGACCTATGACTTAAATTTTCATACTTTAAAAAACTTGCATAGTTATTACAAACAATCTCTTAGATTAAAAATATGTACATATTTTTTATATATATAACTATAAGAAAAATTTATATATAAGAACCTACAAATAAAAATAATTATATATTTTATAATTCTGCAATTATTAATACTAAAAATAATTATAAAAATTTGAACTCTTAACTACTCTTATATATAATTATTTTTAGCTTAAACCCTTATTTGTAATTATTTTTATCTTAAACTCTTATTTGTAATTATTTTTTTAGCCTTTATATGTAAATTCTTCTAATAATAAATATTTTAATTTTTATAAATATAATTTTTAGTATCAAAAGAAAATATGAAAGTAGTTATACATCTTTTTCGAATTAAGAAACTATTAATTCAGTTAATGAATCATCTTTAGTAAATATTACCAAAAGAATCTATAAAAGAGATCATATCGAATATCAAAATGAATTAAACACTTATTTGATAACACCACTTGCAGATTTAAATAAAGAAATTCTAAAATGATGTTATGAAAATGAAACAAATTTTCTAAATCTTGCAAAGCTTGCTAGGGATTACCTACTAGTACTAGTTACAAGTGTCCCAAGCAAGCAAATGTTTAGTGTTTGCAGAGATATGATTACTGAAAAACAAAACAAACTGGCTAATAAAACAGTATGGGTGGCAATGTGCTTACAGTCATGGTTAAGAGAATTTGCAGACAGTGCATAAATTTAGATGCTCATAAAATAGAACTAAAGATATTTTTATTATCAATATATTTTGAATTTATGTTAAATGCAATTATAAAATTAAAGACATTAATAAAATTCTTGATAAATATAATTTTATTAAGGTTTTATAAGTATTACAATAACAGCTTTATGTTTTTATTGAAAATATTGCTATTCAGAGCTTTATTTTTATGTAATTTAATATTATAAATTAGTTATACCAAAATTTTATATTAACATTATTTTTTATAAATAAAAGTTTAAACATTTAAGACGAGTGCAAGTGTCTTGTATTATTTGCTTAGACTCAAAATAAAAAAAATTATCATTATAGTTTCACTTAATATGCTATATTGGTATCAGGTTGGACCTGGATTCATTAGTACAGTTCTGAATCTAATCATGAGACTCGACTTTTGTGTTTCGGTTCGGGTATGGGTCCAATTAAAATCCACCTGGATCTAGACTTTGCGGAACACTAGTTTTTATATTTATATTAGGCAGTGTAGATCATCGATATGTATATAGCAAAATGGGCTGAGCAAAATTATAAATATATAATAAGGTTCGAAAAAATAATAAACATCTATTTCTTCATAAGCCTCAACAAACTATATACCTGCCGCATTATCTACTCTCAAAATGAAATATTGTGATTATAAGGAAACTAGAATAGATTTAAATATGGATAAATACAAGTAATATTGAAGTTACAAATAATAAAGTTGTTAAATTAAAAGAAATGTCAATGAAGAACTACTTATTATTATACAAGCCATTTATACAGTTGACTTTGGATATAATTAATCTCTATGTATGAGCTCTGGATATAACTAACCCAAAATTTTAAAATTTCATAATAATTCGATATAGAAATGCCATGGGTCCTTAAGAAAACATAGTATTTTTCTATAATGAAAGTTTTTTTCTTCATAATAGAAAAAGTTGACTATATTTTATACATATTAATAAAAATAATTTATAAGTGATAAGGTTTATTTAAAATTTGAAAACTTTTTCTCAATGAAGAAATAGTTAAATACAATAAGAAAAAACTTTGAGAAGGATAGTACAGTGACATACATGGGTGTATAATTATTTCTGAAAAAACGTAATTTTGCAAAAATGTCACTGTTGCCATGTTTTTTTACATGAACTTTCACAAATAATTACTTTAATGTATTTATCTAAGAATTCAAATAGTCTCAACAATAATTTCGTCACTTATAAAAATTCATTTTGGCAGACTAATTATCGAAATAATATTATTTATTAAGAAAATCAACTTAGACACTTATATATTTTTTTATTGGCGATAGTTTTAACACTTTTTTGGAATGTAGCATTAATAAAAAAGAATATACTATATACAATATGTATAGTGAAAATAAATTAAAATACAATTTGTATATTGCTTCATTTCAATATATATATTTATCGATAAGTCATTAGTATAGCTATTTGAGTTATTAAGTTCTGATGTTTAATTTTAAATTTCGGTATGTAGCCTATTTTTTGGGTGACACTAGAGTGGTTTTCTTGAATCATTAATACGAGTCTAGTGATTATACTAAGTTCATTGTCTGAGCACCACTACTCAAAATTTATTTTAGACTGTATAAAATGGTTTTAATTTGTGAAACAATGGCTCATTTTTATGCTCAACAAAAATACTAAATTCACTCCATATTATTAAAAAGAGTTTTAGCTTATAAAGTTTTTTACTAAATATTTGAATTGTGTACCAAAAAATTTTTAAAAAAATTGAAATCCAGGTCATCAAATCACCTAAGGTTAGTTATTAATATAAAACTGATTGTATAAGTCTGTGCAGTTTAAAAATTTTTTTATAAAAACTCTCTCTCTCTCCATCTACATTCAGTAGTGGAGAAAAAAAATTAACAAAAACTATTAAACCTTTATTAAAAAAATTTACTAAAAACAACACAAGGGCTAAAACCTTTGTACCCAGGAAAAGAAAACAAGCTTGTTTAACTATGTCTAGTCCAGTGTCAACAAGTTACAAAAATAAAAAAACCAAAATTGCAAGCCTTAAAGAAAAGTCTAGTCTTGGCTTCGATGATATAAGCAAAAAAATAAAACAAGAAGAAAACAACAGGTCCGATAGTCTTATTACTGA